TCACTCAATAAGAGGTTGATTTTCAATCATGTTCAGGCCCCTTTCCGCAACTCTGGCAAAATAACCTCCTAGGCAAGGCGTATTTCCAGTTGAGGGAGAGTTGCAATTTAGGGGCTTTATACCAATCCTGTTCATAGCACACAGCATGGGCGTGGGGTTGAGCGTGTCAGGGCAGAAGCAAAGGTGAAAGAAAGGGGGCGCTCTCTGGTGCACTGCTCTGGTAAGAGCTGGCTGTGCTCCAGCAAGAGACACTTTGGGGGCTCAGAGCAGGCAGTTCAAAGGGGCCGGCCAAGGGCATGCTGTAGGGGAGGCGCACGCACTCCCAGCCGGCTTATTGTGTGGCCACAATGGCCTGCCCTCACCCCTGTGCATCCGTGGCAGCCTGGCCCCACTCCTGGAGGGGGGTAAAAGCAGCTTCCGTCCCACCCGCGGTGGCCCAGCCCCAATCCTATGGCAGGCCCCGTGGTCTGTTCGTGAGAGGAATTCAGTGGCCCTGCTCTGGCCTCACTTCTCCCAGGGGTTGTAGAGGCCCCTGTTTGGCCACAGCAGCAGTCTAACCCCCATCTGCCGCTGTGCGGGGAGCACTCCCTGGGCCAGGTGGCATGCCCAGCCTCCATCTGGCCACAATGTCCAGTCCTTGGTCCTGATCCTGGGGCAGGCCCTGCAGTCTGGCCCCCATCTGCCACAGGAGGGGCCGGCAGTGGCCTTATTTGGTCACAGCAGCCCAGGCCCGCTCCTGCCACAGAAGGAGTAGGAGGGGAGCCGGAATGGGCCGCAGTGATCCTGGCTTGGCCCTCGACCAGCTGCAGCTGCCCAGCTGCAGCAACCCAGTTCTGGCCAGGTAAGTTATCCTTTCCCCAGACCCCCCTACTCTCCCTCCCATCCTCAACCCCCTACCCTGCATGCCCACCCCAGACACCCAAATCCCCTAAGCCCCATATACCACAACCATGTCTCCTGCACCTTGCCACCAAACACCCAGCTGCCCTGCCCTGAACTCTTCATATGTCCCAACCCTAACTCCTGCACCCTCTGGCACCACAACCCTCTGCTACCCTGAGCTCCCCGCACTTCACCACACACTTACATTTCTTACAGGTACAGTTGTATTGCACCCCATTGTGCTGAGGCCCCTGCCAAGGGGAGCAAGTTGTTTTAGGTCAGTACCTGTAAGAAATGTAAGTTACTTTTCTTCCTGGGCAGTAAGCAAAGGGCAGGAAGAGGTAGGTATGTTTGGAGCCCACTGCTACAGCTATTCTTTGTGTGACTTAAAGGCACTTCTGGCCCATCTATTTAGCCACAATGCAGGGATGAAGTTACTTAGAGTCAAGGCCTCTCTCTTTAAAAACATGCTACTTGTCCCACTGGTTGAGGTGGTGGAGCTGCCTCCTGCTGGCAAGTCTTTCTTTACTCTTTTAGTGTAGACATATATGTAATGTTGCCTCTTTAACTGCTATCTGTGACATTTACCTCTGCACTTTTGGGAGTGGTGCCTGGTGCTTTTTATCCGGAATCCTTGCTCACCGCTCCTGTTACCTTTTCCATTCACAGGATCCGAGTGCCAATAGGACATGCAGAACAAAAGAAGAGTGTCCCATACCAAATGCTCTTGCTGTTGGAGCAGATGCAGCGTAGCAAACAGAGAGCCGTGTACCCCCAGGAACTTGCCCATTGTCTCACTGTGCACAATTTGAAATGTAAGTACCAACCAACCATCCCCCCGTTCACTGAATGGGGAAGTTACCAAAGCACACACAAGCTCATTGTGCCTTCTGACTCACTTCCTCATGTGATGTAGGAAAAGTGGTGGCAGAGCCATGCTGGCTTCCTTCTGGGGAAGGGTTGCTGGGCCTTATTTCCAGATCAGGGAGATCAACAGCCCTGGAAAGTGACCTCACTTTTGGCCAGAGGATGCAGTGGTTGCACATACTCTATAGAAGCAGAATGTTTTGCTGTTGAGGAAGGAAGGCACTTTGGTTCTAGACCTGTAGCCACTAGCCACATGTGGCTGTTTGGCCGGGTGAGTGTGGCTAGTTTGCTATAGCAGTGACTACTGCTTCAGAAGTGGTTGGACACCATAGTCTACTCTAGACAGAGCTGTGCATGCTTTGGGAGTCAGGTTACTGCTTGATATTTCTGGTTATATTGACATGATCATAGGGGGGAACTGTCCCCTCTCTCTCTCATTAGAAAATGATGCCATGTCTACATTAAAACTTTTGTCTCTCAGGGTGTGAAACACCCCTCCCCCTGAGTGACATAAGCTTTGTTGGCATACATCATGTGTGCACAGACGTACTCCCACTGACATTGCTTCAGATACTTCTTTAGCTGGTATTATTATGTTGACAGGCGAGCTCTCTGCCGTTGGCATAATAATGCAGCTACATGAGCGATCTCACGGCAGCACATCTGTGCCGCTGTAAGCTTGTAAGTATAGACATGGCCTACATGTCAGCTGGGAGGAAAAGAGGGAAGATAATGGATAATTATCATCCAAATCCATGAGCAAATAAGACATATCCAACTTTTTAGCTGTGTCATCCATGCTGAGAGAAGAACTGATTAGATTAGCTTTTCATCTGTTTCTGTATATATCTGATCAGTATTGATTACTGATGGGTATGTCTGCATGCACACGCATTCAAATGCAAAATCCTACATGTATATTGGACTAATCTTTATGATGTAAAATGCTGGAGCTACAGAAGAGATATACCAGCAAATTCAAATGTGGTATAGGCAGGAGGGTAAGCAGTTGAGTGTGTTTACATCAGAGCTAAATTTGTCCCTCTTTGAATTGTCTACATTTAGCTGCCTCAGCTCCAATTCAAAAGAGTTGTCCAAATAAGTTTCACAGGGTTCTACAATGTGGCCCCCACTCTCTCTCGTCTCTAATATAGAGGAGTGGTGCATAAGCCCAATAGACCCTAGCCTACTATGCGCTGTCTGGATTATGAAAGGACTATTACATTCTGGGACCTGTAAATTCTATGTGCTGTACCTCCATATTAGAGGCACGGATGGCTGTAATCTGCTTATTGGTATGCAAATTAAGGAGCAGATCCTAACGCAAGAACACAGCCCAATTATCTGCCATGGGCAATGGGTAGATTTGCAGGGAAACTGAAGGCAAAAAGCCTGTGCCCCAGGCTGCAGAGGTAATTTCAGCAGCCCCTAGTGTACAGGTAGCCTCTATGGAACAGGGCTCAGTGCTGCACGGGGTGTGTGCACTCTCTGCCTGGCTCCTAAATCCTCCCCTTTCACCCCTGCCTCCCACACTAGATTCACCCCCCGCCACCAGCTTGAGCAATGGAGCTACACTAGTGCTGCCCCATGGAGGAGAGCACAGGATTTTTCCTTAAGTGGCATGTTCTCAATGGGGCTCTCATAAGAAAGCCCTGCAGAAAACTACCTTCCATGCCTCTAGGTTTGCAGATGTGCCATTTGAGCCCAGTAAGAAATCCAAGTGTAATGTTATTGCATAGTACTTGGCTCCTTGAGCCAGCAGGGAGTGCTACAGTAGCAAGGTGTTCAGCCCCTGGTTGGAAGGAGCCGCCTCACATTGTTCCGTAATGACAAAGATTGCTTAAGAGCGACTTTGGACTCCGGGGGAAACTCCAGCCTTTCCTCATAGGTCAGAAGGATGTTTGTGTTGGTATGGAGGGGAGGGTTGAAACAGGGTAAAAAATGCAAATGAGAAAGCGGATGAAAACCTCAGTCTCCGAGAGAGGCTCCAAGGAGTGAAATGTACTGCTCTCAATGCTAACTTTGGCTGTAATGTCTCTCTCTGTCCAGTGTTTGTCCAGTATGATGCTGCTCAACTCTTCCTGAGCCTCTGGAACCTAATAAAGAATCAGATCACAGACTGGGAGCTGGTAAGTGCTCTGGCTGAAAAATGGAATGTACCACCCCGCACCCTAGAGATTTCACAGCTTTCTCTCATCCCTAACCTTTGTTGTCTGTGAGATGCCACGAGTCACCTCCACCTCATTTAGCATCCTGCTACGAAGCAACCCTGCCTCTCACCTCCTCCTCCTCCCCAGCCACAAGGAGCCTTGCAGCCATGGACTTTGACAATTCAAGTCTCAGTTAAAATGTATCTGTTCATCTTTCAGATCACACCATGGTGGGGGATATTGCTTCTTACTAAGAAAAAACACACCCCTTTTGCAAATCTGCGTTTGGTTAATTCATGTATCTTCCTAATTCAAATGGACATAAATATTGTTCAGTATGATCTTTAATACTGCCACCATCCCCTTGCATTAGTGTTTGTTAGCTGCCTCTAATACTCAGTCATTATTTACATGTTAATTGCTTAGTAGCTCCTCCCATGGGAGGTTCCTAGGCAAACACTAAGGCTAGGTCTATACTGCACCCTTCTTCCGCAAAAGCTTATGCAAATGAAGCGTGGAGTAGAATATTGCCATGCTTCATTTGCATAATTAATTAGGGGCCGTTTTTGCGCAAGAAGCTTTTGTGCCAAAAGGAGCTGTGTAGACGACTCCCTTTTGTGCAAAACTCCCTCTTGCGCAAGAGCTGTTCTTCCTGAAAAAATGAGGAATGGCTCTTGCGCAAGAGGGAGTTTTTTCACAAAAAGGAGTCGTCTACACAGCTCCTTTTTGCGCAGAAGCCCCTTGCAGAAAAACAGCCCCTAATTAATTATGCAAATGAAGCATGGCAATATTCTACTCCACGCTTCATTTGCATGAGACAAAGTCTAACACTGATTTTTCTCCATACCAGTAGCATTGTTTGTTTATGCAGGTTAAATGCAAAACTGTACATGCAAGTGCCTCATAGTTATGTCCACATTGCTAGTGTAGCCCGACTATGTAATCTCGCATGGCATTTATATCAGTGGTTCTTAATCTCTTTCAGAATCTGATTTGTTTTGTGTACCCCAAAGTTTCACTTCACTTAAACTATTTACTTACAAAATCAGACATAGAATACAGAAGTGTCACAGCACAGTATTGCCAAAATTGCTTACTTTCTCACTTTTAGTATATAATGATACAATAAATCACTTGGAATAGAAATACCATACGTGCATTTCAATGTATAATATATTCAGCGGTATAAACAAGTCATAGTAAGAAATTTTAGTTTGTATTGACTTTTCTAGTGCTTTTTATGTAATTGGCAGTAAAACTGGGCTACAATCTAGAGGCATTTATATATCCCATGGAAGACCTCTAAGTACCCCCAGGGGTTCTGAATCATATATGATTTATATTCTCCTTTAGATGCAGTAAAGATCCCTCTGTCTAGTTAGATGACAAATCTGGTTTCAAGTCCTAAAGAAGTGACACTGCATTAAGTGTCCATTGGGGCCACCGTCACACTTACAGAGGGAAAAGCATCAGCTGTGTTGTTCATATTCATTTCTTGTACTTTTCTACTCTTCAGGCTGACCGGTTGACCAGGCTGTACACTATCCGAGTGCAGGAATATCTGATTTGTGAGAAGTGTTCATTTGAAACTACGAGAGAGAGCAACATGTTAACCCTCCCTCTCCCAATGTTTAATTCCAGTTCTCAGAGACTGAAGACACTGGTAGGTTCAGCACTCCAACAGTATGCACTTAGGCTATGTCTACACTGCAAGGTTTTTGCGCAAATGCGCTTTTAAATTTAAATATCCCACGCTTGATTTGCATCTTCCCAGCAGGTCACCATTTTTTAAAATTTACAAGTCCGGACTAACTGCCCGCGTCTGCAAGGAGGTTTAACAGATAGTTCAATTTAGGGCTTTATTTCGAACTACTGGGTCCCTGCTGCGTGTAGACACAGGCGGTTAGTCCGGACTTGTAAATTTAAAAAATGGCGACCGGCCGGGAAGATGCAAATCAAGCATGGGATATTTAAATCCCGGGCCTGATTTGCAACTTCGAATGCCTACATTAGCCTCCCTAGTTCAAACTAGAGGGCTAGTGTAGACATACCCATAGACCCATGGAAGTGAAACAGTTCCCTGCAGAAATGGGGTATTCAATTGGGGCTCGGAGGGGAGAAGGAGGGGGGGCATTCTGACATCAGCATCCCTCTCTTCCTACCTCTCCCCCCACATAGCAAGCAGGAGGCTCCCGGGAGCAGCTCCAGGGGAGAGGGTAGGAGTAGCAGGGCAATGAGGTAAGGGGTAAATGAACTGCAGCTGTCCTGCTGCACACCTTATGGGTGTGCAAGGCACACACAACTTATGGGAACCGATGGGAGTGCTCTCTGCCAGTCCGCCCTGGTTCCAAACCCCCACAAGGACAGGCTGCTTTTCCAGAAAATCCTGTAAGTAGTGAACAAAGCAGGCAGCCAAACAACAGAAGTGAGGATTGCACAACTTCAAATGAGCATGTGCTCTAATAGATTAGCATTGTTATGTTGCTTAACAAGACAAATGTTAAGTGAGCAGTTGCTGCAGAGTTGGAAGTATTAGAGGCAAAAATTAAATTTTTAAATGTGGAAAAGAAGGGGGGGGGGAGCCTTTAAAACCAACCAGCATGTCTTTTGGGCTTCTTTTATTAACAAGAAAGCAGCAACAAAACCAACTTATTTTCCTTTGCTAGGCATCTTGGAGTACAAGACCTTTCGAAGGTTTGCCTTGAAACCACAGCCTTTGAAATAAGGCAGAGATAGAAATGTAACTTCTCAGAGGAGTTCTATTTGGCTGATAGACTCCTTCTTTGTGTTTCTAGGAGGATTCCCTGCATTGCTTTTTCCAGCCTGAGCAGCTGACTGATAACAACATGTGTCTCTGTGAACAGTGTGAAAGGAAAACATCATGCCTACAAGTGAGTGAGTCTTTCTCCTAATCCTGCCTACACATGCCACTGCTCTCCCACCCCCTGATCTGCTCCTGCACTCCACCCCTCCTGCCCAGAGCCCACACCCTAACTCTCTCCCAGAGCCTGCATCCCTTCCCACATCCAAACTCCCACCCAGAGCCTGAACCCCTTTTTGCACCCCAACCCCTGACCATGCCTGGAGATAGTGAGTGAAGGTAGGGAGAGTGAGTGATGGCGGGTGTGGGTGGGATGAAGAGGTGTGGACTGGTGCCTTGGAGAGGGGCAGGACAAGGGCATGGAGGAGCAGGACAGGAGGCAGGGCAAGAATCTTCATGTCTATACAGGTAGTCCCCGGGTTACGTACAAGATAAGAACAAACCTACAGTCCCTAAGTTGACTTTGTATGTAAGTCGGAACTGGTACATATTGTACCCCAGGTGTCCCCGATTCAGCCGCTGCTGAAACTGACCAGTGCTGACTACAGGAAGCCTGAGGCAGAGCTGCTTTGCCCCGGGCTTCCTGTAGTCAGCTGTTGGTCAGTTTCAGCAGTGGCTGACTTGGGGACGCCTGGGGCAGAGCAGCTGGGGTGCTGCTGGGTTGGTCCAGTAGCGCCGCACCTCGGCGCTGTGGGACCAACCCGGCAGCCCCCCACCTGCTCTACCCCAGGCATCGGCGAGAAAAGCCTGCTCTGCTGGGGGGGGGAGGGGGGGCAGCAGACCAGGGAGACGTGGAGCGGCTTTTCTCACCGCGGAGGACCCGGGAGGCGGAACCGCCCAGACGTGCTGCGATCCCGCCGCCCACATCCTCTGCGGCTTTGCTCAGCATCTCCCTGGTCTGCTGCCCCCCTTCCCCCCAGCGGACCAGGGAGACGCGAAGCAGCTTTTCTCGCCACGGAGGACGCAGGTGGCGGGACCACCGTGGCGTGTCTCGGAGGTCTGCTGGGGGGCAGGGCGCAGCTAATGCGGGGTTCCCTCACCCCGTTCTTAAGTAGGGATCCGACGTAAGTCGGATCCAGGTAACCCAGGGACTGCCTGTACTTCAGGGCTACGTCTAGACTGGCATTATTTTCCGCAAATGCTTTTAACAGAAAAGTTTTCCGTTAAAAGCATTTGCAGAAAAGAGTGTCTAGCTTGGCATGGACGCTTTTCCGCAAAAGCACTTTTTGCAGAACAGTGTCCGTGCCAATCTAGACACGCTTTTTGTGCAAAAAAGCCCCGATCGCCATTTTCACGATGGGGCTTTTTTGCGGAAAACAAATCTGAGCTGTCTACACTGGCCCTTTTGCGCAAAAGCTTTGCTCAAAAGGGACTTTTGCCCGAACGGGAGCAGCATAGTATTTCCGCAAGAACACTGACAATCTTGCATGAGATTGCGAAAAAACTTGCCAGTCTAGACACAGCCCAGGTGTATAGCAGTGCAGTCAGGCTTAATTGGCAGGACAAGTTTTATTAATGTTGCCAAAATAAAAGAAAGCGACCCCCTCCGGTATCTGTCAGGGTGAGTACAACCCAGTACTATCCTGCTGCTCAGGCAGTGTATCCATTGCAGGGCATTGCCCTATAGGGACATTCCCTATTAGCATCTCTCTCACCCACCCTGCATTTTCTTCCTGCCAGCATCAGCAGCTGTTATGCCTGCCTGCGCTTGCTGTGATCCCTCTAACAGGTGCTCTCCTCCATCCCCTCCTGTGCCCTTGTGCAATAGGCAGGGGGAGCGGATAGATGAGTAATATATGCTTTAGAGTAAGGACCGTAGACAGACAGTGAATTAATGCACAGAATGGACACCTTAAGGCTGAATCACTTGGGAAATTTGGGGTGTGTGTGTGTGTGTGTGTGTGTGTGTGTCACATCCTCTGCGGCTTTGCTCAGCATCTCCGAATAAATATATTAAAGATTGTGAGGCACTCAGATACTAAGGTAATGAGGTCCAGAAAAGTAAATAAAATAATAGGTGGTACTTTTCTAGGTTGCACTCAGGTACAATTACGGTTACAGATAACGGGAGGTGATGACCCAGAGAAGTACGGATGAAATTGGTTGTCTTCCTGAGCCATAGGGAATTTGAAAAGTGATTTTAGTATTCAGTACCAAAGGCTTTGTGATGTGCAGCATCCTTCCTAAGATGTGGTCACTATTTCACTGAGAATTCTGGATCTACTGTTGGGCAGTGTTGCATCTGGCCACAATTACTGTCCACTGGCCTGATTTTCTCAACAAAAATATCTTATTATTTAGCAATTTCAGTCACCATATTCTTATTCAGTTTCTAGTCTTCTAAGCTTCATGCTGTACCCAGATTATAAAGATTTTAAATGGGGCTTTTTTGGCATTATCAGAAATGTAGTTTGAATTTCATGGTTTTATTTTATTTTAAGTGGTACAGAAGCAATTTTTTTTCCAGTGTCTCATTAGAATAATGCGGTTTGCAGGAGTACTTAGTTCACTGTGTACCTTGTTATCTCATTGTTCATTTTTGGTTTTGTTAATTTTTTATGAAATATATAAATATCACTGTAGAGCCAGTGCAGTCAGGCTTAATTGGCAGGACAAGTTTTATTAATGTTGCCAAAATAAAAGAAAGCGACCCCCTCCGGTATCTGTCAGGGTGAGTACAACCCAGTACTATCCTGCTGCTCAGGCAGTGTATCCATTGCAGGGCATTGCCCTATAGGGACATTCCCTATTAGCATCTCTCTCACCCACCCTGCATTTTCTTCCTGCCAGCATCAGCAGCTGTTATGCCTGCCTGCGCTTGCTGTGATCCCTCTAACAGGTGCTCTCCTCCATCCCCTCCTGTGCCCTTGTGCAATAGGCAGGGGGAGCGGATAGATGAGTAATATATGCTTTAGAGTAAGGACCGTAGACAGACAGTGAATTAATGCACAGAATGGACACCTTAAGGCTGAATCACTTGGGAAATTTGGGGTGTGTGTGTGTGTGTGTGTGTGTGTGTAAAAAAACTGCATTTCAGGTCCCACAAACAACTATGCTCCCCATGCTATTCCTGTGCTAGGAGTAAACTGTGAACAAGTGTCTTTCCCATATGCTTGAAGCTGAACTGTGGTCTATTACAGTGACAGGCTAAGGGAATTAATTCATTGTACCCGTGACCATTTCCCACCCTTGTTACACTCACACTGATTGTAGCATCTTCATCCATTCTTGATTCTTTCGTTCTTAGTTCACGTGTTTATTGCTTTGCAGGGCATGAGGCTAACATGTCTGCCACAGACCCTCACTCTCCACCTAAAGCGCTTCTACTTCAAGAAATCTACCTGGACTCAAAAGATCAGCTACTCTCTGCCTTTTTCACAAAGCCTCGATTTCAATCAGATACTAACACAAGAGCAATGTCACCCAGATGCCAAAGAGAAGGTGAGACACTCATCCTTTGCACTTGTGGGAAGCAGATTTTCGTCTTCCTCATTCTCTCAGCTCTCACAAGGAGAGACTCTCAGGTCAAACCAGACCTGCCGATGGGTGGGACAGTTGCACAGGGGCTCATGAGATTTAAAAGGGCGGGGGTATCCCAACCACTGCTGCCAACAGCACAGCAGGGCTAAGGCAGGCTTCCTGCCAACCTTTGCTCCGTCCCACTCTCAGAAGCAGCTGGCACCATCCCTGTTGCGCCTGGGAGTGGGGGGAGGTGTCTCCATGTGCTGTTCCCACCCTGAGTACCAACTCTGCAGCTCCCATTGGCTAGAAACTGCAGCCAATAGGAGCTGTGGGAGTGGTGCCTGGGGGCAGCGGTGCATGGAGTCCCTCTGCTCCCTGCTGCCTAGGAGCCGCTGCCAGAGGGGTGTACGGATTGCTTTGGGGAGAAGCCTAAGCTAAGCACCAACCCCCTGATCTGCCCCTGCACTCCACCCCCGCTGCCCAGAGCCCACACCCCAACTCTCTCCCAGAGTCTGCATCCCTTCCCACATCCAAACTCCCTCTCAGAGCCTGAACCCCTTTATGCACCCCAACCCCTGACCACACCTGAAGGTAGGGAGAGTGAGTGATGGTGGGGGGTGGGTTGGATGGAGGGGTGCGGACTGGTGCCTTGGAGAGGGGCAGGACAAGGGCATGGAGGAGCAGGACAGGAGGCAGGGCAAGAATCTTTATGTCTACGCAATTAGATACTTGGCAACCCTACCAGGAAGGCATGTGGAAGCCCTGGCTGTGCCAGCAGCTCGCTGGGCACCACCCAGCTCAGGCCCAGAACCGCCCTTGCAGGTGTGGCTTATGCATGCATGCGTGGGGGATTGGGAATTGACTGTTCTTCCTTAGGGCCCAGAATTGCTTTTTCTTTTTCCCCACCACCTATTCTCCATGAAACTTCCCTACTCAGATTGTTCAGAATGAGAGACAGAACCAGGATTTGGTATAAGAATAATAGGAAAATCTAATCTGATTGGTGGTATTTATGAAGCATTTAGTGCCTTAGTATCCAGCTGCCTGTGTGGCAGAATTGAATACTTAGGAAGAATTCCTGTTACACGCAACTGAAGAATATGATCTTCCATCTTCCAGACAGGGCCATTGTCATTCTGTCACCTTGCTCAACTTGGGAGGATGTTTCACCTTTTCCTGAAGGAAATAGATTTATATTATGGATGTTTGTCTCTGTTCACCATCTAGGATTTGGTCTTTATTTCATTGATAGTATCTCTTTGTGGGTCTTTTTAGGCCGATTGGCAGTATGATCTCTTTGCTGTTGTTGCTCATTCCGGATTAGCCAGCTGTGGTCACTATTGTGCCTACATTCGGAGTCTCACAGACTGCAGATGGTACTGCTTCAATGATTCCAGTGTCTGTCAGGTGAGAAAACCAGACTCACAAGACTTCTATTTCTCTGCTGTGCATTCTTTGGATCTCTAACTATAAACGCATGCACGCACGCACGCTCTCTGATGTGTGGGGCTGAGCTCATTTCTCCATCCCATTCTCTTACACTACAAAGGTCTGTGGATGATTTAGTGCCAGACAAGAAAAGGGAACCATGCTTTCCTTACAAAAGAATAAACAGTACTGCCAGTATGAGTGCTTTTTATTTTAGATTAGGTAAACAGAGGAAATAACTAACATAGTCTACCTGAGACCACATGCTGCATTTCTTTTCTTTAACAATGTGCACTGAACTGGACACAGAGCGGCTGCTAGGTTCTGCAGACAATATGGTCCTTAAGCTTTAAGGTATAGTTCACAGACACAGGGATCCAACATTCAATATACTCATTAAGAAAGGGGGGGGGAATAGAGAGAGTGGAACTCCATTTCACAGAAGATTAGGGGCACAGCTCCCTTACTCGTGAGCCTATAATTATTGGAAAAGGATGAGTAGAACCTCTCTTGAGAACGTCTGTGCAGTTATCATTATCAGGAATTAAATTTGCTGCTGACACAAAGTGGGGGGGAGGGGTATTGCCAATACATAGGACAATTGCGGTATCATTGAAGAAGATACGGATGGCCTTCAAAACTGGAGTAATAGAAATGGGATTAAGTAGTGTGAAGTGCAAGGTCGTGCACTTAAGGACTAACTACAAGAATATTTTGCTATAAGTGGGGGACATAGAAGCAGCAAGTGACAGAGGAGGAGAAAGATCTGGGTGTACCGCTCAATTGCAGGGTGATTATGAGCCACCAGTGTGATGCTGTTGTGCAAAAAGCTAATGCAGTCTGTGGCAGGCCCCTCCCGCCTGGGTCCCTGACCCCTTGTGATACAGTCTCTCCCTGGCCCTTTAAGCCAGGCCAAAGGCCCTCTGGCCTGAGTCCCCGAAACAGTCTATAGCTGGCCCTTTAAGCAGGGCTAAGGCCCCCTGGCCAGAGTCCACAAAACAGGCTATAGCTGGCCCATTAAGCAAGGCTGAGTCCACAACGCAGTTTGTCGTTGTAGCGGGGGCACACCCCAGGTAGGGAGACCCGGGCCCCCCCTACTCCACTGGGTCCCAGCCCAGGGCCCTGTGAGCGACCAGGTACCGGGTCACTCTCTCGGCGGGGCCATCCAGCCGAAACGCGCCGAGGTTCTCGGGACGCCCCGGGCTTCCTTCCCGTGGACTTGCCCAGCTGGCTGCGGTCTCCAGGCCGGCGTCCCCTCGGCAGGCAGTCTCCGGGTTGCACCGATTCGCCTCCGCCTTCCTTCTGGCCTCTCCTGGAGTCCCTGGCAACCGCTGAGGGAGAGCTCCCTTCTCCTTCAGCTGCCTCCCCTGACTGAGTCCTGGCCCAGGCTTTTATAGCCCTGCTGCAGCCCGGGCATGCTCGGTAGGGCTGGGGGGAGGGGCCTCTGCAGCCAGGTAACCCACACAGTCCTAGAATGCATCAGGCAAGGTATTTCCAGTAGAGACAGGGAAGTGTTAGTAACCATTATACAAGATCCTGATGGGATTTCTCTACACCCATTCCAGTCTGAATTCATCTTTCTTAAACACGGGAGACCAGTACTGCACACAGTACTACAGATGAAGGGCTACTGGGGTGATCAGAAGAGTAGAAGACTTACCTTACAAGAGAGACTTAATGAGCTTGTCATATTTAGCCTAACCAAACAAAGGCTGAGAGGAGATATAATTGATCTCTATAAAATACATCATGAGATAAACACCAGGGAGGGAGAGGAGTTATTTAAGTTAATGGCTAATGTTGACACAAGAAAAAATGAATATAAATTGTCCATCAATAAGTTTAGGCTTGAACATTTTAGGGGGTATTAGTCTGTACAAGATAAACTTAAAAAACAACAAAGGGTCTGGTAGCACTTTATATATTAACAAAACATGTAGCTGGTATCATGAGCTTTCATAGGCACAAGCCACTTCTTCAGATGACTGGCATTTTGAGTTTAGGATGTGCAGACCCAAAATAAAGTAGACCAAGATCTCTGATCATCAGAGGAGTGAAGTTCTGTGACAGCCTTTCTAAGACAACGGTGGGGTCAAAAAAAACTAACTGGCTTAAAGACTGAGCTTGGTAAGTTTATGGAAGGGATGGATATGACTGGAGTCCCAGGGGGGACATGCTGAGATTACTAAATCAAGACAAACTGTAAAGAATGGGGCAGAAACCCCCCAAATTGGTGATTATTCTAATATTTAGATTCTCCAAGCCAGCAACAAAACAGCTTCCACAATATCTTACTAGTTACCCAGAATCCAAAAATGCAGTTCCCATCCAGCCTTGGGCTCCTATCCAGACATCCCAGTCAAATATGATGAGGATAACTGAAAATCTTAATCATCGTATAAAAATTCTACCAATCCCAAATGATCAGTCATACTGAAGTAGAATCACCTATTTCCTATGTTTACACAGGCTACTAGTTGCACTCATCAGCACAAAGTAATTATCCATTAAGCAGCTCATAGACAGTCTACTACAAACTTCAAACAGAAATATAGACAATGATATTCTTACACTAAGTTCCTTCTAAATGCCAATATTCCTTTTTGGTCTCTGAATCAATAGATCTAGTAACAGATGGGAACCATCTGAACCCTGGCTAACATATAACAGCATATAAATAAACACAAACAGTTAGCATTACCTTTAATTCTGTAATATACAGCTTTGGATTTGCTCTATTCGCGCTATCATGCCTATGTTAGCAATTTATAAGAAATAGCCCTAATTACCATTTATATTCTGTTCTAATATTTCTTTAACGGTTGAATTTGGGTCATTTAGCTTGCTATTGCTTAACCCTTTCTGTCTCAATGTCACAGAGGGTACGATGAGATTGCCTGCGATGGAATGTGGCCCATCTGTGACTGCTAGTAATAGGTATCATCAAAGGCCAGAGAAGGGACACTAGATGAGGAGAGCTCTGAGTTAGTGTGGAGAATTCTTTCCCGGGTGTCTGGTGGGTAGCTCTTGCCCACATGCTAGGGAGTCTAACTGATGGCCATATTTGGAGTTGAGAAGGAATTTTCGCCCAGGTCAGCTTGGCAGAGATTTGGGGAGTTATTTGACTTCCTCTGCTATCTAGGGCGTAGATCATTGGCTGGTTTGAATTAGAATAAATGGTGAAGTCTCTGTATCTTGAAGTCTTTAAATAATGATGTGAGGACTTCAGTAACCTAGTCAGTGGTTATGGATCAATTACAGGAGTGGGTAGGTGCGGTTCTGTGGCCTGCAATGTGCAGGAGATCAGACTAGCTGATCACAATGTTCCCTTCTGGCCTTAAGTATCTTGAGTCCATAATGTATCTAACCATCACTCAAGAGTTTTTACCAGCGCACTCTGTTTGGTTCATTGCAGGTGTCATGGGACGATGTCAAAAGTACCTATGGGAATTCACGTTTTCACTGGTAAGGAGGTGCATCTTATTTTTCTCTTATGCTGCCCCCGCAGCGCTATTAGGCGAGGGGTTAGTGTCTGTATGGAAACCATTCTGAATTATGTTGGTCTGGAGTATACTTGGAGAAAGGAGACGATTTCTCACAGGATGGCCATGTTAATGCACTATTACCTGGCTGAAGTAAAACTACAGTCACAAGTGTGTGAGCAACAGCAACCTTTCATTGTTCACCCCCTTTGTCACCCAGCCCATAAGGAGAGTGAGGTGCTAAGTACCTCACAGGCAGGGTCTCTCTCTCCCACCCTTCTACACAGATAAATCATAAGAGTAAAAGGTAGAGAGAACTCATCCTGCCAATTGAGCACCTTTATTCAGTCACTGTTATAGAGCTATCTCGACAGTGAAAGAAAGGACAAGGTCACCTCATCTGTGGTAGGACAGCTGAAAAGAAGCTAAGTTGGGGTGGGAGGTGGGTCTAACTACAAGCCTCCTCATGCTCACAATCGTTTTGTTCTTTTCTTCCGCTAGGGGTGAAACTGCCTATCTCCTGGTTTACATGAGAAAGAATCCCCAGTAGCCTCATCTGGGCCTGCTCCAAGGACTCGGGGCTCTGTGGAGGACCTGCCCAATTTATGGACTCTGACAATCCTGCTTCAAGAAGAATATGCTACAAATCCATCAGTACAGCAGAGTGGGAGGCCTGATCTAAGCTCAGTGGCAACACGTCACTGTGTATGGTGTGTGTGTGTGTGTGTGTGTCTGTGAAGGAAATGAAAGGTTCTGTGGGGGCACATGGTTACCCCATGGGCTGCCTCGGCTTCCACCTCCTGAAACTTGGTAGGTAGACAAGACAAGAGCAATCACCTCCTCCTCTTGCCCAGCCCCGTGCAGAGCTTGCAGTCATCCCGGCCTGGCTGAACGATCCCTTAACACATGTTCAAAACAAGGCCAAGAAAAGGGGCAACACAGTTGGGTCGCACAGTTGTCCCCTCTCCTCTGGCGCCATCAGGGTGGGTGGCACCAAGGTGGGATGATGCTCGGGGCCTGGATCGTCTCAGTTAACAAGAAGTTGGAGAACTATCAGCCACTTTTTGTAGGATGGGGGCAATCTGGCACCTCCCAGTCACCTCTTCCTTGATAGGCACACTGAAGGCAGCTGCCGTTTCAATGTGCCCCCAGCAGCAGCAAGCTGTTATGTATTAGACCAGAGAAGAGCAACTACCTCCTCCTCCTGCTCTCTGTCTGGTGGCTGCCCAGCTGACACTGGGGCTGTGTCTAGACTGGCCAGTTTCTCCAGGAAATCAGCCGCTTTTCCGGAAAAACTTGCCAGCTGTCTACACTGACTGCTTGAATTTCCGCAAAAGCACTGACTTTCTACTGTAAGAAATCAGTGCTTTTTGCAGAAATACTATGCTGCTCCCGTTCGGGCAAAAGTCCCTTTTGCGCCAAAGGGCCAGTGTAGACAGCTCAGATTTGTTTTCCGCAAAATGCCCCGATCGCGAAAATGGCGATCGGGGCTTTTTTGCGGAAAAGCGTGTCTAGATTGGCCACGGACGCTTTTCCGCTAAAAGTGCTTTTGCGGAAAAGCATCCGTGCCAATCTAGATGCTCGGTTCTGAAGATGTTTTTAACGGAAAACGTTTCCGTTAAAAGCATTTCCGGAAAATCATGCCAGTCTAGACGTAGCCTGGGGGTGCACTGAAGTAGCAGCAGTAGCAGGGTCTGCCCCCTCCATTCCCACCCTCATCTCTAGCCTGCTCTCCTCACTCACTTCTGGGGTGCTAGGGCCAGATGGGGCTTCACCTGAGTTGCCTGGTGCTGAGCACCCCATCACCACATTGCAGCTCCTCTTCCTGGTCTCATAGATGCGCCCTCCCCGCCCCAGCTCACCTCACTGCGGGAGTCTACAAAGCAGGTAGTGGGAAGCAAGGAAGGGGAAGTAGCTCCATGTGGTGGGCTGGGGAGCTCAGCCTGCTTCCCTGATGCACCCTCCCTTTCTGCTCCGCATGGACACACAGCGGGGGGTACTTGCTGCTTTTCACTGCTGGATGTCCCAGCAAGAGGATGCCCAAGAAATCAGGGGGTCATAGCCCTATGTACTACATCCCCAACTGCTGCCGCTGCCCCTCCCCACAATTGCCATTGTCTCTGCTGGCTGCTGCATAGAAATTGTCTCACTCACGCCAATGACTCTGCTCTGCAGACTGGCTCTTCCTTGCTCTTCCTATGGCCACCTAGGCTGTGCAAGAGAGTGTGGCTCTGTGAAGAAAATGAAAATCATCTTAATTAGCAGGAAAACAATCTTCATATTGTGTCACATGTCCATGACCTTCTTGTGCCACTAGTTCAGCTTGCACATTGGCTCTCACTTCGCTGTGGTGCCGCTGGGAGGAGGACTTGGGAATGAGGAAAGAAGAGGGTTGGATATCAGTGACAAGTAACCTTCTGAAGTGCACATATTTATAAAATCTCATTATGTTTTAT